GTTTACCTATCTCTAAAAAGTCATTCTGTCACAGGCTTGGTGCCTGTGGCTCAAGTGGCTAAGGCGCCAGACACATACACCTAAGGTGGTGGGTTCGAATCCAGCCCGGACCTGCCAAACAACAACGACGGCTGCAACCAAAAAATAGCTGGGCGTTGTGGTGGGCGCCTGTGGTCTCAGCTACTTGGGAGGCAGAGGCAGGAGACTCGCTTGAGCCCAGGAGTTGGAGGTTGCTGTGAGCTGTGAAGCCATGACACTCTACCCAGGGGGGATAGTTTGAGGCTCTGTCTCAAAAAAAAAAAAAAAAAGTCATTCTGTCACAAAACTCAATAAAGGCTAAGAAATCAGATAAACAAGCTCATAGAAATAAGCTAAATAATAGAAAACATGCTTTTAAAAATAAGAGCCTTAGCGGTATCTAGAAGTAAAATGTAGACATTGTGTGATATTTGATTTCATTCCAAAGAACATTGTGTGTGTTTATATACAGTCTCTCTACTATACTTCTTTGTGTTTTCGTCTTTCTCTACCTATCAAAGTTTAAGACCAAGTAAAAATTTATGTGAAAAAACTTTATAAATGACTTATTATTTATATATAAGAAATTTAAAAGAGTATCATAAAGTGCTAAAATAATGACTGGTACATTTGCCAAGTTGTACACTGAGGGTAAGATTGGCAATACTCAAGTACCTTTCTGTTGTATCAGAATTGGTAATGATTAGGTCAAAGGGAATAGTAAGGAAAATTAAAAGAGAGAAATATAGTAAAATTGCTTTTTGTTAGAACAGAATCCAAATACAGTATACAAAATAAAAGAGAATGTTACCTTCTATCCCAGGTACTAATGACAGTGGATTCTCACTTTTTAAGGGATTAGCCAAACTTTTACATTCAAAACGTTAAACTTTTTTTGAGTTATGATATACATTCAAATACACACACAATCACAAATGTACTGTTGGGTAAATTTTCCCAAGGAATGCATACTGTGAGACTATAACCCTGATTAAGAAACTGAATATTTTCAGCACAGCAAAATTCTTCCTTATGCAGTCTCCCAGTCACTACCACCTCCTCCCCAAAATAACCACTTTCCTAGCTAGTTTTTCCTGTTTGGGAAATTTACATAAAAGGAAACATACAAGATATACTCTTATGACTGGCTTATTTCTTTCAATAGTATGTTTGTGAGGTTCACCTATGTTGGTGCATATGGCAGCATTCCATTCATTCTCATTACTATACAATTCACACAATTAATGTATCAACTCTGCTGGACATTGGGCTTGGACCACTTATAATTTTTTAAAGTCTCCCTTCAAAATTTCTTTTTTTTTGCAGTTGGACCATTTATAATTAATGATGATGTTTATGAACATTCTTGCAAAAGTCAATGTGATATGCCAATATGGTTTTTAAAATAAAATTAGATAACCTCAGCTTTATAAGTGAATATTTTTAAACTCATAAGAAGTTATTTTATTAGCACCAAAGACAGAAGTTATACCTATTTATATTTCTAGTTTTAGTACCAAAAATTTTAGCCCAAAGATTCAGTAGGCCCTTTAAATCAGATGTAATAACAAAATAACTTTTTTCAATTTTTATTTTATTTTTTTGAGACAGAGCCTCAAGCGGTTGCCCTGGGTAGAGTGCAGTGGCAACACAGCTCATAGCAACCTCCAACTCCTGGGCTCAAGTGATTCTCTTGCCTTAGCCTCCCAAGTAGCTGGGACTACAGGCACCCACCACAACGCCCGGCTATTCTTTGGTTATACTTGTCATTGTTTCCCAGGCTGGATTCGAACCCACCAGCTGTGGTGTATGTGGCTGGTGCCTTAGACACTTGAGCTATAGGTGCCAAGTCACTTTTTTCAATTTAATGTAGGCAACAAACAACAGTAATAACTATCTATGACTTTGGCACCAACATAAGTCAGATATTTCATAGCATGTCATAGGTAGCTATTACAAATTATCTCAAAGTGTCATTTACATTCATCACTGCTTTGAAATTATAGCACTGAAACTCCATCACTAGCTCCTGATATTTAATATCTACTGGAAAGTAGATCATTACTACTATATAACCAATTCGGGTTTTAATAGTTTGACAATTATATTTAAATATAAGTAATCTTTTAATTTTGTGCATTTTATTCATAGATTTTAAAATGTTACTCTGAGAAGTAATCAAAAGCTTCACCAGAGTACCAAAGGAATCCAAGGCATAAAAACGTTAAGAACCTACACTTTATTTAACTCAAACATAGGTATGACAAGGAAGGCAAGGGATAATTTCTAAAAGCGATCTAAGGACCATAATGTATTAAGGGGAGAAAGAAGCTTTATATTATTAACCAAAATAAGGCCAAGTTCACCAGGAAAAATGTTATCTTACTGAGGAAGATGATCTGAGAACACATAAAGACTCTAAACTAGAAGAGGTTGACTGATGGGTTGAACAGACCAATCTAATGGAATTAAAAGAAGAAAAAAGAAGAGGAATAAATGTTAAACGTCTGGACAGGTTCTGTATCTCAAAACTTAAAGAAGTGAGATTTACCTTTAGACCTTTAAGAGATACATTTAGCCTGATTTTAAGGATACTTTTAATATAAAATTTATCTCTCTACCTGCCTGATGCTAATGAAATTATTCTATAAAGAGGAAAAAGCCTGTTTCATTCTTACACACATACAAACAGTATTAAATGACATATTGGTTTTGTTTAGATTTTTCTTCAATATACTAATGTACTGAGACTTCTACCACCTTCTGTCAACTTTATCTCAATTCCTGTCATTATCAGTGACTTCAACCTTCATCTACATTTCTGTTTCTTAACTTTGCATATAATATTCACCAGGTGTACTTTTATACAACACTACTGTCCAGGTTCCACCCACAGAGGTGTGTGGGATGGGGCACACACAATGGTATTGAAGAGCTCTCTGGGAGATTTTAATACGCAGCTAGGATTGAGAGCCTCTAATACCAATCACTGAGCCAAAATCTAGCCTGAATATTTTCTTCTCCTAACTCCAATAACTTAATACAATCTTTTCTTCCCACCACACATAGAACTTCACCCCAAAATGATCCATCTTGGAAAGGCCACTCTAAAATACCAACTGCCTTTCTTTATCCGACACCATGTACTTCAAGCTCACTAAGCCTTTCCAGTCTCTCAAATCCGCAACTTCTTTGCATCTACTGCCCTTCTCACAGGTCTCACTCCATTTCTAAATTAGCCCATATCACAACCTCAAAATCCTTATTTCCCTGCCTCTACCATTCATCTTACAGTCTCAAATGAATACAACAATCTGCTTTCCCCACTCCCAAAGTAATAAAGCACATAATTCTACACAGTGGTACCACACTGATGGTGTAATTCAGTATCTTTGAAACGCAGCATTTACAATTCCAAGTGGGATATATCCTTGATAAGAGTACAAGGGTCCTTAAATAATAAAGAAAAAAGTGAGAGCCCATCGATCCACGAATGGATCAATAAATTGTGGTATATGTACACCATGGAATACTATGCAGCCATTAAGAAAGATGGAGACTTTACCTCCTTCATGTTTACATGGATGGAGCTGGAAAATATTCTTCTTAGCAAAGTATCCCAAGAATGGAAGAAAAAGTATCCAATGTACTCAACCCTACTATGAAACTAATTTATAGCTTTCAGAGGAAAGCTATAACCCAATTTTAACCCAAGAATATGAGGAGAGGGAGGGGAGCGGAGGAAGAAGGGTGGGTAGAGGGAAGGTGAGATCATGCCTATGGTTTATCCTATAAGGGTACATCCTATTAGGTGAATCTCTCTAATTGTAGAATATAAATGTCTTAATACAATAACTAAGAAAAAGACATGAAGGCTATGTTAACCAGTTGGATGGTTAACTGGTGGGATCACGCCTATGGTTCATCCTGTAAGGGTACATGTGAATCTCTCTAATTGTAGAATATAAATGTCTTAATACAATAACTAAGAAAAAGACATGAAGGCTATGTTAACCAGTTGGATGAAAATATTTCAAATTGTATACAGAAACAGTACAATGTACCCCATGATAGTATTAATGTACACTGCTATGATTTAATAAAAAAAAAAAGAAAAAATGATTTCTTTTCCCATTCTTAATTCCTTCTACATCACATTTATCTATGTAATTTGTTTATTCCCCCAAGTAAACTATAGAATAATTTTATCAAGTTAAAAATTGAAACATTGGGTTTTTGATTAGAAACAAAATAGCTATAAATTAATCTGAAAAGAAATGATATAAAGTAATAATTAAGTCTGCCTATCTTAAAATACAGCAGACTGTTGTTGTTCTGCTCCTAAGGATGAAACAGTAAGGGGACAGTGCAAAAAGTAAACTCTTACACTAAGTTATTTTCAAAGAAATAACTTATGAGGTTCAAAGAGGCAAGTAGCTTCAAATGCTAAGAAGTAGCAAAGAAGTGCTACCCTGAAGAAAATCCTCAAGGGTCTTTCATTGAACCAGGAAAAATCCATAAGTACAAGATATGCATGGAACATACAAAGTTAATTATAGATAGAAAGAAACAAAGAATTTTTGCAATATTAGGGAACTGAGGAAACAGTGGAAAGAAAGACAGAAGAGATTATCATTAGATTACAATGAAAAAAAGAAATAGTTACAATGTCTTTCTGATAAACTTTCTATGCTGCTCATCTGAATCTTAACCTTTCAGCAATTTCAACCTTTGAGCCTTTTCCAGCACATGACCCACAGATCTATGTCTAAACTGCTGAACATTCCTGACCCCCTGGCCCAGGTACTATGTTCAGTACAGGGTGGTGGTGGGCAGGGAATCAAAGAATCTGGGCTGTTGCCAGATCCTCAGGAATGTCAGCCTACACTAAACTCTAACCCATATCTCCACCCTTTTTGTTTTATTAGGTGGAGGAAAGTACTTACCTGTCCTAAAAAAAGGAGAGAAAAAATAAGGATTACCTGTCCACCCTGAGAATTGGCGGTAACAATATCGAGCACAGAACGGAAAAGATTTTCTGCTATTATAGGTGTTCCTGCTTGTTCCAAGACGTTTTCTGATTGCATCATGAGACGTTTTAAACTTCCCCAAGTGATGTTGGAAACTTTCTGGGAGTTAGGTATATCTGTGGTCTCTGTCTTCTGACTCTGTGGAATTATTCCCGAAGGGGTTTCCAGATGAAAGTTGTGCAATTTGAGAAGTGGATTCATCTCTGGCTGAGGCCAATTCATGATAAGGTTTGATAAGGTGAGCTGGAACCCACCAAGGACCTGTTGGCGATAAAACAGCAGCATAACCCCCCCCTCCCAGGTTAACAATGGCACTGGCCCTACCGACCTCTAAGAGGTTCTTCTTCGTAAAGTCCCAATAAGTTCAGGATCTTTGTTTGGGGGAGTAAAATGCCCTTCAGCAGTGGTAGTGCCTTCCTTACAGCAATTCAAAAAATTAAGAGTAAAGAGAATTTTATGTAATTATTCTTGTGGTATGAGCTTATCTTCCATACCTCCTCCCTTTTTGTTTTATTAATTGGAGTTTTAAAAGTGAATGAGCATGTTCTACATCCAGTTAGCAATGATTTATAAAGTTTAGTTTCCTTTTAAAATCACAGTTTACTATAAAGTTAATTATTTACCCAAACTGATAATTAGAAGATTTAAAAGGCAAAAACCTTATTTTTGACAGAGAAAAAGACTCAGTTTCCCAATTAAAACAGCCTAAGTATTACATTTTACAAATGACTCAGACATTTTATGCAACATGACATGACTTTAAGGTTTTAACTTACTAAAAAGTGTTCTGAAACCACAACATAGACAACATCCTTGATGTCTTTCTTGGTCTTCCTAAGTCTCACAAAGCAGGCATCAAAGATGGCTGCAAAGGACAGGACCTATCTGCGTCCTGAATTCATTTACCAAGTGCAGAGTTCAAGAAAGAAAGCAGGAAGACTGGAAGATTCAGTTTCTCTCAGAATAGGCAGGCAGCAAAGTTGGAGCAGGGAAGAAGGGGCCATGTGAGTGAGATGGTGCCCTGTAGCTGCTGGCCTAAATACCAAGAACATGTCCCTAGGCCTCACCAAAGCTGCCAGTCTAAGCTTCAGCATTCAGAAACTCAAAATCAAGAACATAAGCTCACAAATCCAGCAAAATTTAGAAATATTACAGATGTGGCAGCTCTATAATCTTTGAACATCTGAACGTTAATAATGATTTTAAAACTAGCTTTATTTATCAAAGAATACCAAAGTCATCTGAACAAATAGGCATTTGTGTTGTTTTCCTAATAAAATATTTAAGTGCTTATTTTTTCTTTTTTTAAAAGCCAATTAATTAGAGCTCTTTCACATATTTTGATAGTGAAATGTCACAGACACATGACGTATACACAGACACATAGACACAGACAAGAGGCAGAATCTGTATTTACAGGCTTACATATATTTTCATCCAGACTATTAATCTTTAGTTATCTATCTTAGTTTACCCTGACTTTAGTTATCATTTTAAGTTGTTTTTCTGTTAATCATTTTTATACCTGTAAATTAGATATATATAGTTTTAATGGCTGCTTTTAAACTCATAAATCCTACTGCGATAAAGAACAAATGTAATTATTTTAAGCAGACTTGTTATTTTTAACAGTGAAACATCATTGTAATAATCAAGGATCCATTCAAAGGCCACTTTTCTTTGGGGTGAAGATGATACAATGATCAAGCCATGTTACAGTAAAATTTTATTGCTTTTTAGTTATATTCAGGTACTCACACTGAGATCAATCAAGACAGAATATGCCCCAATGGGGTGTCATTTGGAATTTAGGCCTGAGCTCCCATAATACAGGCTACATACAGAAACACCAGATTTCTCAGGAACAAAACCAGAACTGATGAGATCTAAAATGCTCAGCACACAATCAAAATAAATCAGGCGGACCTTAATGAATAGTGATGGCAAGTGCATGAGAGCCGAGCCTGAAGATTCCCAGTAGACATCTCCCAGTGGCCCTACTGGGAGTGTTCGAGCACTGCACTCCTGGGACCCCCTGTCCTTGTTGGCCAATATCCAGAGATGGGAATAGGTCCACCAAACTTTGTCAGAAGGCCAGCGATTCTGAAGAAGAGTGAGGGTAGCCTCTCCAAGACTCCTCTTATTTTCACCCCATGTGCTCTCATTTCCCACTCCTATTATTACATTTTATATCTATAAAATAGATTTTAAATGGAAATAATTACTATGATATACTTAATTTAGCCATGGATCTTATTCAGGCGAAGGACAGGTTTAAAGTTATCCTGGGAACAACATGTAGCACAGTTAACAAAAGACAAACAACAGCACACTAAATACAAACACGGATGACTGAGAATAATATACTTCCCATCCTGCGAACCGAAGCTTTTATCATGTCAGAAAGAGGAGGAGAGTGCTCCATTAAAGGGGCTAAAACTTTCTGACAATCTAAATTGGCATTCTCATAAGCAAACTGGAGAGTTAAAATTTCAGCATCTTGCTGGCCTTCAATTTGACAGCATATAGTATTCTGTAGTGAGTTAATGAAATCTAAATAAGACACTGTGGCTCCCTGCCAATGGTGGCAACTGAGCCAATAAGGGCTTGGAAGTCAGTGATTTTTGTCTAAGCCACTTGAGAGCTCTGAATGAACAATTAGCCTAAACATGGGAGGGTGGTATAAGGACCTTCTCCCCTACGAGCATGCCAAATCGATGGGAACTCCTGTACGGCAATTATCCATAGTTACAATCTGGCAGTGCTTTTGGAATGCTTAGACCCAAACACTATACTGAGCAGGAGACACAACAGTCTTAACTACAATGTTCCAGTCATACCACTGTACCTCTAGGGAAAGTGCTCTGCAAACCATTGTTGGTGATGCTCTAAGTTCTTTAAAAACCAAGAATGGGGCGGCGCCTGTGGCTCAGTGGGTAGGGCCAAACTGCAACAAAAAAACAGCCGGGCATTGTAGTGGGTGCCTGTAGTCCCAGCTACTCAGGAGGCTGAGGCAAGAGAATCGCCTAAGTCCAGGAGCTGGAGGTTGCTGTGAGCTGTGTGACACCATGGCACTCTACCAAGGGCAATAAAGTGAGACTCTTGTCTCTTAAAAAAAAAAAAAAAGAAAAAAGAAAAATGGGAGGGTTTCATGTCAGGGTCCTTAGCCACCAACTCTTCAGTATAGGAAAAACCTGAATCCATTCACCATCTTGAGTAGCTCCTTCTCTTAAGCACATCTCTATAATACTCTCAAGTTTAGGAAAGGGCTGGGCCAAATTATTAGCAAAAAAGGAAGGAATATAGCTACAACAGATGCCACATTCCCTTTCCGGGAGATGAGTAACAAGGAAGGTCTGGTTTAGAATCATCTGGGGGAGCCTTAGCTGGTGGATTATTTCCTTGAATCAAGTGAAGTGGTAGGTGGTAACATACAGTTACTAGGCATAGTGATTACCACAGTCATCATCCCAATCTTTCCCAATCTTGCCAATTGAGGTTCCCATCCTTAGGATTTCAAAGACATTGAGATTGGGACTGTAACTAAAAATTCTGTCAATTGGTGGTCTGACACTTTATACGCTGCTGCTTGGAAAAGACCTCACAATAGGAGCTTATGGGATTTTTGTTCTTTACTGAGATTGTTTACCACTTCATAAGAAAAAGGGAAAAAAAAATTCCAGAAAACAGAAGACAGCAGGCTGGTATGAACCCCCAGCTCAGACTGCTCCCTGTGACAGGAACAACTGCTTATTGTGGGAAATAGAGAACAGCCAAAGCCTTAGGTGCCACCCTAACAGGCAACTGACCACTTGCATTGGAGAAGCAACCCTTCCTGATACGCCAGCGAGTACCCCAGTCAGACTATCTTATTTGGAAACTGTCTTCTGAGTAGAAGAGACAAAGAGGATGAAAGAGGACAGAAAGAGAAATAAAAGATCTCACAGCCTTTCCCTAAAATAACAATCTCGCTGTGGGTTTCCAGGGCTTCTCCCTTGGCACCCAATGTCCCTTACCAGGATGAGTGGATCCATCTTTTTCCTTTTCACTTTCTTCCTGGGCTTTGGGAGATTGTCATGGTCACCGTTTATCTGCTGGGTCCCTGTTTGAAGGGTGCCATTTGTTGTTCTTCTCCTAAGGATGAAACGGCGAGGGGGCGGCGCAAAAAGTAAACTCTTACACTAAGTTATTTTCAAAGAAATAACCTCTGAGGCTCAGAGAAACAAGCAGCTTCACATGCCAAGAGTTAGCAAGGAAGTGCCGCCCTGATCAAAATCCTCAAAGGTCTTTTATTCAACCAGGAAAAATCCCTAAGTACAAGATATGTATGGAACATACAAAGTTAATTATAGATAGAAAGAAACAAAGAAGTTTTGCAATCAATATCAGGGAACTGAGGAAACAGTGGAAAGAAAGACAGAAGAGATTATCATTAGATTACAAAGAAAAAAAGAAATAGTTACAATGCCTCCCTGATAAACTTTTTATGCTGCTCATTTGTATCTTAACCCTTAAGCAATTTCAACCTTTGAGCCTTTTCCAACATATGACCCACTGATCTATGTCTAAACTGCTGAACATTCCTGACCCCCTGGCCATTTCCCATAGGTACTGTGTTCAGTACAGGGCCGGGGTAGGGGTTGAGGTGTCAAGGAATCTGGGCTGTTGCCAGCAGATCCTCAGGAATGTCAGCCTACAATAAACTAACCCATCGAGGGCCTCTTCATTTTTTCCATATTAAATCATTTTAAATCAACCTCAACCTAAACTATAAATTCTAGGCAAAGACAACCCCAAATATGACACTATCCACTTTTTACTATAGATGGTTATAAACTATTTGAGGTTTTTAAACTGACAGAAGTTTCTAACCTATGCCCCATAAGTCACATTTAGATTATCCGAGGACTCTTCTGCTTTATCAGTGGTGCTGGATCACACAAAAATTATGCACAGACCTTTTTTATGCTCATCAGCTATAGTTAGTGTTTGTGTGTTTAATGTGTGGCCCAAGTCAACTCTTCTTATATGTGTGGCAAAAAAGAAAAATGGTTAAATTCGCCTGTACCCTCTGGTGGCAAACAATAAATCCGTAATATAAACTTATGCCATACAATCCTAATCCTGTGGTGCTTAGAATGAGCCTGTGGCAAAGTTTAAGACCTTTATGACCTTCCCTGAACCTTCCCTTAGGCCTCCATAAAGGATTCTGGGGATAGACTACACATGTTCATTCAATCAATATTGAGCTCCTATATGTGTTAAACAGCAAATACCACATAGTGCTGGGAATACAAAACAAAATACAAGCTCTTTTGGCTCAGAAAAGGCTTGTCTCAAAATTCCTAACTCCCAAAGTAACAAAGAGATGAGTAGAAAAGGAGCAAGATGGTGGACCAAAGATAACCCCTTACCAGCCACTTACGGTCAAACAGGGAAGAAAGGACTCTAGCCACTCCTGGCTGGGAAACCTTGCACAGAAACACCACTCCCAGGGCACAATGAATCAGTAGGGGATTCCCAGGAGCCAAGGAGGAGGTCACCAGCTGAGAAAGACCAGTGCAGAAGGCAAGGGCGTGCATAAAGGCAGAGGCTGGCTGCTCGGCCCTACACCAGAGGACTAGAGACAGCAAAGGGCTGCCCTGCAGATTTCTTGGAATGGGCTACTCACTGGACCTGACTTGGTAGGGCTTAAATGAGCAAGTAAACTCAAACACCATCCAGCAACTGGGATTGAATCACCAGGTACATGATAGAGCAAAAGGTTAAGTGCTAGGCACTACATACAGAGTAATCTGAGCTAAAGCCAAGAATCACCACTCACCATGAGTACTGAAGACAATACTCACTAGACACAGCATACTATCCCAGCCCAAAGTTACACATTAATAGTGATAAGACTTAGGAAAGGCAGAAGTAAACAGAACGTATTAAGAATTCAATCATGAAGCTAAAGATGAACAACTTGTTGTTTAACATTTACTCTCTCTCTGAAGCTTGCTGTTGCACTGTGTTTTCTCATGCATGAGATTGCAGTAAAAGTCTGCGAGGAACATTCAAAGGAGCCGCACCCTTATCTCTCCTTGCAGAGTGCTTGCTAGTAATGGCCTCCCCTGGTCCCTCAGATCAATACAAATGGACTCAGTAGGTGTTTTTCATTTTGTATCAAGTTGAACAGACAACTTCAGCTTGGCAACTAGGAGGGCACTACCATTGATGGAGGGCTGCCTGGAAGGAATAGTCAAAGAATACTAGTCCTTTGACTATTCCTCCCAGGTAGCTCTTTCACAACTGCTAAACTTGGACAGCTATCCTTGGGGTGAGTTGAACAGCTCCTCCCACCCCCAGGTGGCACTGTTTGGAAGAACAACGTGTGTGTTCTGCATCTCCTAACACCATAATGCCAGTTGTGTCTAGACAATATATAACTACACCTGTATATACAATATACACCTGTACATACATACATATTTTTAATTTTTTCCCTTTTTTCTCCATAGTTCTTTGTTGTTATTGCTTTTTGTTTGGTTTGGTTATACTTTACTTTTTCATTTTTACTTTCTTCAATAACAAGAGCTCATCCATTTCTGCTAAGGTTTTTCAGCCTTTGTATTTTTTCTTTCATTTTATTTCACTGCTTTTTTTCTCTCTTTTGGAAGAGATTTTTCTACCTTCCTCATCTTTCACATATAAAACAACAAAAATATCCTATTTCTTCTTTCTTCTTCTTATATGATTTTAATTTTCTTTACCTATTTTTATTCTTTTTTTCTTTCTCTAATCTCTGTTATTCTATTTATTTTGTATTACACCTCTGAGACAGAGCCTCAATCTAAGGTAACACGCTGATTGTTTTTTCTAAATATAACAGAGGTGGGGTATTGCTTCTGACCAGGCCAGTAAGATGCTCCTGACCTCAAGCAACCCACCTAGCCAGGCCCCCTAGAGTCCTATAATTGCGAGTGTGGGTGAAAACACCCTAATGAACACCACCATTTTTCCTTTCTTTTTCTTCTCTCCCTTTTTTTCAATTTTTTCCTTTAATCCTCCCTTTTTCTTTTCCCCTTATCTACTTCTTTCCTATCTCTCTTTTCTTCCTTTTGGTCTTATACCTAAAGGCTACTTCAACATATAAGCAGAAACAAGGTAATTTGAAGCAAAGGAGGTAGTGAGAGGTAGGGAAAGGAAGTGAACAAGAAGAAAAAATAAACACAAAAAATCAGAACAGAGCAACCACCCCAAGGGATGATAAGGCACTACTACAGAGGGTTCTAGCTATAAAAATTTAACAGAAATAAAAGAAAGGGAATTTAAAATACAGATGGTAAAAACAAAGTAATTAATGCAAAAGTGTAAAATAATTAAAAGGAAATGCAAAAACAAAACCAAATAAGGGATGAAAGATATGAAGAATATAGGAAGGATGAGGGTGAATGGTGGGATCACACCTAAGGTGCACAATGCAAAGGTACATGTCGGATCTATTAATAAATGTCTTAACACAATAACTAAGTAAACAAGATGAGGTATATATTTACCAGTGTGATGTAAGTATTCCTAATTCTATATGAAATCAGCACATTGTACCGCATAAATAAATGTATACATGAAAAAAAAGAATATAGGAAGGATATAGCAGAGCTTAACGAACTGAAGGAGTCAATCAGGGAACTTAAAGATGCAACAGAAAGTATCAATAACAGATTAGATCATGGAGAAGAAAGAATCTCAGAGCTACAGGATAAGATTCCTAAGCTAACCCAAGTAGTTACAGAGTCAGAAGACAGAGAAAGCAGAGCACTTGCTCAGAGAATTATGGGGCTTCACAAAATGTTCAAACATGTGAATCATAGGCATCCCTGAAAGGGAAGAAGAACATCCAAAAGAAAAGAAAGCCCTACTGGAGGATATCATATATGAAAATTTCCCAAGTATCACAAAAAAATTCCAACAAACTTTTTAGAGGGATATCAAACCCCAGGTCGTCTCAACAAAAAACAGAGGGTCTCCAAAACATTCTCAGAACCTGTCCAAAGCCAAGAAGAAAGAAAAAATTCTACAAGAAGTCCAGAGTAAGCACCACTTGACCTACAGAGGCAGACAGATCCATCAGAGTGACAGCAGACTTTTCAGCTGAAACCTTGCAGTCCAGAAGATTATGGTCATCTACCTTTAACCTTTTTTTTCACTTTGTTGCCCTCAGTAAAGTGCTGCTGTGTCATAGTCCACAGCAACCTCAAACTCTTGGGCTCAAGCAATTCTCTTGCCTCAGTCTCCTGAGTAGCTGGGACTACAGGCACCTGCCGCAATGCTCAGCTATTTTTAGAGATGAGGTTCTCACTCTGGCTCAGGCCTCAAACTTGCAATCCACCCACCTCAGCCTCCCAGAGTGCTAGAATTACAGGAAGGAGCCACTGCACTCAGCCTTACCTTAAACCTTCTTAAACAAAATGATTCGCAGCCCAAAATTTTGTGTGCTGCTAAACTAAGCTTTAAAATCAATGGAAAATGCCAGGCTACTTGGGAGTCCCAGCTACTCAGGAGGCTGAAGCAGAGGATTGCTTGAGCCCAAGAGTTAGAGGTTTCTGTGAGCTATGATGTCATGGCACTCTATCAAAGATGACAAAGTTAAACAATGTCTCAAAAAATAAAGAAATAATGAAATAAAAGAAAATAAATGGAGAATTCAAGTATTTTAATGATATGTAAACACTGAGGAAATTCACCACATTAAGACCTCCTCCACAGGAAATACTTAGATCTGTTCTCCATACTGACCATCACAATGAACCACCAGCAAAAACACCCAGAAACTAAAAAAACTAAAACCTAGCTTCCACAATAAAGCAAAAGATAAAACTAAGCAACAAACTTTCCAAAAATAAATGACTAAAACTCCACCACAGTTATCAATTCTCTCAATAAATGTAAATAGCTTGAATTACCCAATAAAGAGGCACAGGCTAGCTGATTAGATAAAAAAGCACAAGCCAGGCTCGGCGCCTGTGGCTCAAGCGGCTAAGGCGCCAGCCACATACACCTAAGGTGGCGGGTTCGAATCCCCAGCCCGGGCCCGCCAAACAACAGTGATGGCTGTAACCAAAAAATGGCCGGGCGTTGTGGCAGGCACCTGT